CGGAGGTGCTGACTACAAGAACAAGAGCTCGGAATCGCAGTTAAGTCGGAGGAGAAGAGCAGAGGATACGGCGAGTAAATCACGAATAGCTTGGAAGCCCCCAAGATATGAGAATGTTGATTATTTACACGGACACACGGTGCAAAAAACAAAAAAAAAAAACTAAAAACAGATCTGCTAAAACTTGGTATCCCCTGCTTCTGCTGGCCAAGTGTGAAGTGAAATGAAATTTGCGAACTTTGCGCTCTTTGCATTCGTTTGCGAGCCGCAGAGGGGCCTTCTTTTCTTTGATTAATAACAATTGATAAGCGCGGAGTTGGCCCACAGACCTGGCTGCATCCCCGAGAGCTGCTGATGGCGTTGATTACCCGTGCCAGGTTCACAGTCCGCAGTCCACTTGAAATCGCAGTCCCGGTCCCGGAAACCCAAGGCAAGGTGGCAAAATTTTCGCGCGAAAATGAAGATTTCCCTTATCACAATTGGCAGCTGCAGACGTTTCCCCGTTCCTCCTCCTTTTTTTATTTTTTTTTTTGGCTGCTCACTCACGTTTTTCAATTTCTGTTCTCCCCCAAAAAAATCCCGATCATCGATTTCGACTCCAGTAATTTGTTTAATTATATTCCCTGCTGAATTTTCAAGTCGGTCTGCAGTAGTCTGCGCACATTTTCTGTGACTAATAAGGCATGTTTGAAAAATTGTATTTGTTTCGATAATAACTAGAAACAGGTTACATCATTAAAATTTAAAGAAAATCGACCCGCAATCACAAACCTACAGTACAACAAACCTTTCGAGGTATGCAATTTCAAAATTGTACATCTATAAAATAAGTTCTTGATTCGTGATCGTTTCAGGTCACTTTACTACTAAGTCATTTTTTTGGGGAAATTAGAAAGGGTAATATAATTAAAATTGTAAGAAAACGGACCCAAAATTACAAACCAGTATTTAAAGTCGTATTTATGGTAATTTACAATACACACCTTAAGATGAATGAAAGATTTTTTAAAATCGGACATTTTTAAGAAAAGATTTGGTCTTAGAGGTGCTGGATTAATTCTAGTTAAGCAGACCAAGCTGTGAAGTCATCAAACTCAAACCTTAGCACACATGGTACGACAATATCTAATACTACTGAATCGATTTGCTGCTTCAGCACTCATTATCCAGTACAAAGCCGCCCCGTTGAATCTCATTACGCGTACACCACCAGTGGCATCCAAGGAACTCTAAGTAGTAAGGCCCGGCCAGACGCACTGGCGACTTGGTCCGCCATCCTAGGCACCTTGGGATTACTTCCATCTCCAGAGAGATCTGGCAATGATTGCCAAAGTTTCGTTTTCGTTTTGCTGGGCTTTTTTCCCCCATTTCGGGTTAACTGACCCCGAAACGATTAGCAGCGGCGGCGGTCTGCGGGTTGAAAGCCAGCGACAAATGAACAAAGGGTCGATCCTGGGGATCTGTTGCTTCTCCTGGCTCCTTGCTGCCCTCCTCCACGTTTCCTCTTTTCCTGGGCAAAATTGTTCGATTGTTTATGGCTGCCAACAACGCCCACCGAGTGAAGTTGCGGCCAAGTGAGAAACCAGCAACAATCATCTGCCGGCTGATAAAGTGCCAGGCATCCCCTGCCCACCAGTATCCCCTACCTCCCCTACTTGGATTGGGATCCCCTTCTCAACTCCACTGTGCACTTGTAAAAAAAAGTGTAGTAAATCGACGTTAATTCAAAGTATTGAGTATTAAATTTAGCTATTTGTTGTTCTAATTAGTTCTATAATTTTATATATGATTTATACAATTTGAAACTTACTAGCCAGATATTTATTTGTACTTTTCTTTCTTTTTTATCAGTCTATTTAAATTTAAATATTATTTCCTTTGATAACCATTACAGTTTTTGAGTTATTTTAAATATAAATATATTGATTTTAAAATTGTTTCCAATTAGATTTTAATACTTTGATGTTATATGCAATGTAATGTTATATGCAATGTATATAATTTAAAATTCAATAGACCGATTTTTATTTTTACTATTCCCTTTTTTTGCCAGTGTGTGTGTGTTTGTTGTGTCGCTTATCGGCGAGGATCGATCGCAGCTCCAGCCAAAGGGAAAAAGGGAAGAGAGACCTAAAGCTGAAGACGGCGGCCGAGCTGATTTAACAAATTGATAAACAATTGTTGGCGTTGGCCGCAGGGGGAGGGGGACGGTGAGGGGTGTGAGGAGGGGGTTACAGGGTGGGGGGCGGCGTAACGTTATGAAATGGCTAAACAAACGATAGCCCGATCGCTGTTTCAGCGAAGACTGCATGTTCCCAGATCCCAAATCGATTTCGTATGCCAATGCGTAACCTTGGAATTCTTCCACGCAGCAAAGAGTAGAAATCCATCTTGAAATATTTACTTTACTTGCCTTCTATCAAATATTAAAAACAACTTAGCAAGTGGTTTATTATTAGTGTATGTATAGGGTTAATTTAAATAGTGAAGTATTTAATCAAGAATTGTAAAATTCGAAAAACCTGATAAATTGAATATTTATTACATTGATTTTCGATAGATTGGAAATATACGTTATATGCAAATATAGAAATTGAATTAATTAATAATTAATGAAATGGTTTCTCACCTTTTTTTCAATAAATTTTAAAATAAAAGACAGCTCGAAAGATAATATCTAGTTAAAGAAATCTCCAAAAACATAATTTTTTTTCCAATTGAAGCCTGAATCTTGGGGAAGAGATTTCACTGCTCAGAACCGAGACTGCACAACAATGAAAACTTTGGGAGGGTGTTGTGATGGCACTCGCGAGACAATCGCTGGAGGAGATCAGCTCCACCAAATGCTATGCCGCTGAACCCCCCTGGATCGAGAGATCCCGGCCTGGGCTAATCCTTAAGCAGAGGCAGCTGTCGCTAGGGGCAAAGCTGGGATCCCAGATCCCAGATCCCAACCAGAAACACAACCAGAGCCAGAGCCAAACTGAAAGCCATTGTTAGCTGTTAGTCTCCCGTTCGCACTCTATCGGCGCTCGGCCATCTCGCTGCTCTTCTCCCGGACAAAACACTTTACGTGTGCGGCTTATCGCCACCCAATCGAAGGCAATAAATATCTTACAAATAAGCAGAATGCCTCGGAATGCCAGCAGAGAGCCCTTTATTTGGTGGAGAAACCGGGGCTGGGGGTGTTGCGATTCTTCTAACCGATTGCTCACGTGCAGAATTGTGTGAATTCGTGAAAAATCGACGGCGGCAATTAGGGCGGGCCGTCAATAGTTTGGCAACAGTTGCAATATTTGTTGCAGTTCCAGTGGCAGCAGCACTGCAGCAGCACCACCGACACATAAACAGCACACAAACAATCACATGGCATTCAAGAGACTCAGGCGACGAACTTGATGCCCACAGGGAAAAATTGGGGAAACTTTAGCTGTTTTAGATTGAGTTTGATTTGGTTTTCATATAATATCCTACAAAAACTGTAAGAATCATTTAAACTTAGATTTTATTAGCGTATTAATGAATATTTTTTGTACCATTGGCCAAAATAAAATTACCAAGATTTTCTTTCTTCTACTTCGGTGAGCTTTTAAGGAAAAGAATAACTTTTTGGTTCAGTAAGATCGTTTATAAGTACCAGTTCTTAAATGTTTTCCCCTGTAGAAACCTTTGTTTTTTTCCTACTTGCCTGAGACTCAGTCGCTCTGGATGTGCTGACATTTCAATAGCCATCAATTGACAGGTCAACGCGCATCTTCTCCAGCCACCAAGCAGGGAAGGCGGGGGCAAGAGGAGGAATCCAGAAAGGGGACTTTTGGGAGCTGTGGCCCGCACGAGCAGAGCAAATGTTTGCTGCGGTCGAGATGTCGAATTTCTGGCGAAGCGAGATGCAAACTGCGAGGCTTATCCGGCGGCTCCATCTGCATGCCATGTGTGTGCCATGTCCACGTCCATGTCCACTTCCACTACCACTTCCATATCCACTGTCCGCCGCTATAATCTCGGCCAGCATCGCCGTTCGGTCGTTATAATATTTCGCCGTGGCCCAAACAGAAACAAATCAGATGTCAGTTCGGGGATTCTGGCCAACTTCGAACTTAGCTGCGATCCGCGGGCCCTAATCATCAGTGCTTGCTGGCCACCATGCGCTTTTCCTTCTACCTTTTCCACCAGCGTTTTCCACGTAAGAGATGGCCAGCGTGGATAAACTTCTGCTCCTGCTCCTCGATCTTGGCCAGGGCAGCTTGTCAAGCCGGCTCCTCTTGTCGCATTGTTTTCACAGCTCTGACCACTGACAATTTGTTCGATAATAATTGCCAAGCAGCCGGCTGACACATAGATTCCTCACGAGAGGCTGGCAGAAATGGGATGCCATGGATTCTGGGAAGGCGATCGAGGTACTAAACTGACATGTAACAGGCTGACCCCGGAGCAGATTCCCAGGAATGCTTGGATTGGGGTCGAAAGATCCCCTTCATAAATCTATCCTTGCAGTTTTAACAAAAAGTTTATATTATATAAAACATTTGTGTATAATTTAATTTTTCCATAAGCCTGTTTATAAAATGCTTAGGCTTTTAGTTTAATCTTTGTTTGGTATTTTTACAAACTTATTAAACTCTACCGTTTAAAAAGAAATGTCTAATAATCCTAATGCTTTATCGTAATGTCTTAAGGCGATTTGATATACATCAAGATTTCTTTTCTTCTTTAGTTAAGTTTTAAACTCTTTATTTTACAATGGGAACTTGTTTATGCACACTTTTAAAAATTAAATTTTATTTAGAAATTTATTTAAAAAGTAGTAGTGTCCCAAAAAAATTAATTATAACTCAAGATTACTTTACTTTATCAATAAGAAACGTTTCCCTAATGTACATTGTCTTACAGATTGCACAAAAACGTGTTTATCTCTATATTTTAAAAGAAAACCTCTAATAATCCTAAACATCGTAATGTCGTAATAATTAATTTACTAATATACATTTTCTGATTTACAGATTCCAAAGATTTGACCGCCCAAGAGATGGGCGTGGAGAAGCAGGAGCAGATGGAGGATGAACTGGAGGATCAGTTGGAGGATGCCAGGGTCCACCAGACGAACAACAACAACAATAACAATAACGATGAAGGCGATGAAGATGGTGACTTCGATCAGCCAGAAGAGGCTACTGCCGAGCAGGATCAGGACTTGGGAGAGACAGAGATGGATCACCAGTCGGAGGAGCAGGATGAAGCGGTGGCCAACAGTCCCAGCACTCCGCCCCGGAGTCCATGCTCCTCCCCCCAGCTAATACCCAAGCTGGAGCAGCCCTCCACTCCGCCCTCGGAGGCGGAACCTTCTCCATGTCCCTCGCCCAAGTTCCCCAAGGTGCGTTTGAATGCGCTCCTGGCCTCGGATCCTGCCCTCAAGCCCGATGCCAAGGAGCTGACCCTGCCGGACACCCGTCTGCTGGCTCCGCCACCGCTCATCAAGCCGGAGAACCAAGTCCCACCGGAGGTGGTGGTGGAACCCCTGCTGAAGCCAGCCCGATTCATGTGCCTGCCCTGCGGCATCGCCTTCAGTTCGCCCTCCACCCTGGAGGCGCATCAGGCCTACTATTGCTCCCATCGCATCAAGGACACGGACGACGCGGGCAGTGATAAGTCCGGAGCCGGAGGATCTGCAGCAGGAGGATCTGGCGAGGGGGCAGGCTCATCATCGGCAGAGCCGCCAGCCAAGATGGCCAGGACAGGAAAGCAGTACGGCTGCACCCAGTGCTCCTACAGTGCGGACAAGAAGGTCTCCCTCAATCGCCACATGCGCATGCACCAGACTTCGCCAGCGGCTCCCACACTGGCCAGTTTGCCAAGTCTCCTCCAGAATGGAATACCACCGCCGCCGCCGCCGGTGGGTGGAACGCCCACTTCGTTGGAGGATAGCTCTAGTCAAGTGAGTAAAGTGTTGAGGTTTTATCAAGTTGCTCCTGCAATAGCGTAATAATAACCATCCCAAATTGTCCAGCAGCAAACCGATCGCTACTGCAGCCACTGTGATATCCGGTTCAACAACATCAAGACCTATCGGGCGCACAAGCAGCACTACTGCAGTTCCCGGCGACCAGAGGGCCAGCTCACCCCCAAGCCGGATGTGTCTCCGGGTGGAGGATCAGGAGGACCGAGTTCCACTGGCGGATCCGGTGTGGGAGTGTCTGTCCAGGCAGCTGTGCCCGGCAAGCTCAGTCCGCAGACGACCAGAAACAAAACGCCCACTCCTGCGATGGTCGCTGTGGCCGCTGCAGCTGCCGCCGCCGCCGCTGCTGCCTCTCTCCAGGCCACGCCACATCCGCATCCGCCCTTCCTGGCACTGCCCACCCACCCGATCATCATTGTGCCCTGCTCCCTTATCCGGGCGGCCAGCTTTATTCCAGGACCACTGTAAGTAACCATAGGAAAATACCCGAAGAAAAACATAAAGAAAATAAAATAAAAATTAATAAAATAAAAATAAATAAAATAAAAATAAATAAAATATAAAATAGAAATCGCCAATGATTTTGATTTATCTGAAGCGAAATTTATTTATTTAATTAATTAATTAATTAATTAATTAATTTTCATACTAGACATCTTTCTTATAAGCAGGACTTTTCTTTATTAAAAATTTAATTTATTTTATTTTATTAAAAAAAAATATTTTCTTAAGAATATTCTTAAAATCTAAAGTGATATTTAAATAGGTAGGAATTTATTCTTAAAAAAATGGCTTTTCATAATTTATTTTCATTAGTAACATAAGTTAACTACTTGGTATTTGTTAAGTAAAATTTGATATATATATATAAACGTGTATTTAATAATCTTTTTAATCTACAGGCCTACACCAAACTCGGGGATTGTAAATCCTGAAACCACCTGCTTCACCGTGGACAATGGAACGATCAAGCCCCTGGCAACAGCCCTCATCGGCGCCTCTTTGGAGCCCGAACGCCCCTCAGCTCCCTCATCAGCTGCTGAGGCGACGGAAGCCAAGAGCAGTCCACCGGAACCTATGCGAAAAGAGGCAGGCGGAAGTCGGTAAGTGGGACTCTAAAAAATTAGGGATGTATAGCTTAAAACTCTATTAAACTACTGTAAACTATAAAAGACGAAGCTATAAAGGTTCTGCAGACATATCATAAGTTACACGATGTCCTGTTTACACACCCCCTAATAATATGTATATTTCCATTTCTCCAGCGAATCTGCGCCCTTGGATCTCTCGCTGCGTCGATCGCCGATCTCCTTGAGTTCGTTGAGCCTGCGACAGCGGCACCTGCGCACCGCCCTCTTGGATGTAGAGGAGGCGCTGCTCGGAGGAGCTGGTAAGGAGAATGTGGAGACGCCGCGGACGGGAGGCAGTGTGACGCCCGAGCAGATCGTGTGCGCGCCCTCCCTGCCGAGCAGTCCCTCGATGAGTCCCTCGCCCAAGCGACGGGCCATCAGTCCGCGCAGTTCCGGGGCAGGCAGTGCCTCCTCGATGTCGCCGCCTGGTCTCAATGTGGCCGTGCCCCATCTGCTGGACATGCGCCCCATGCTGCCGGCGGACTTTGGTCTCACCGAATCGCTGCTGGCCAAAACCAATCCGGAATTGGCTCTCAAACTGGCGGCCGCAGCTGCAGCGGCTGCAGTGGCCGGAGGCGCCACTCTGCCTGCCCCAACGGGTGGTGGGAATCCGGGGAGCGGAGGTGGATCCTCCGGTGGCGGCTCCCAGCAACCGCAAATCTATGTGAAGAAGGGCGTCTCTAAGTGCATGGAGTGCAATATTGTGTTTTGCAAATACGAGAACTACTTGGCGCACAAGCAGCACTACTGCTCGGCCAGGAGTCAAGAGGGCTCTGCGAATGAAGTGGACGCCAAGTCGGCAGTTTCGCCATCCAATCCTGGTGGAGCCGGCGGATCAGGAGCTGGCGGGGCAGAAGCTGCCCTGTCGTCGGTGGAGACCACGCCAGTGGCCTACCAGCAGCTGATCTGTGCCGCCTGTGGCATCAAGTACACATCCCTGGACAACCTGCGAGCGCATCAGAACTACTACTGCCCCAAGGGAGGAGCAGCCACTGCTGTTCCCGCCGTGACGTCCTCGGATCCCGGACAGCTATCTCTGGCCAAGGAAAAGTGTGGAAAGTGCAAGACTGTGCATGAGATGGGCCTGCCATGCCCAGCTCCTGCCTCCAACTCCCTGGCGGCATCTAGCACCAACAACTCCCAGAGCTCCGCCTCCAACAGCCTGAACAAGTGTCCCGTTTGTGGGGTCGTGAGTCCCACAGCGGCGCTGGCCAAGAAGCACATGGAGATGCACGGCACGGTGAAGGCATACCGCTGCAGCATCTGCCAGTACAAGGGGAACACCCTGCGCGGCATGCGCACCCACATCCGGACCCATTTCGACAAGAAGACCAGCGATGTGAACGAGGAGCACTACATGACCTGCATTTTCCAGGAGGAGGAGGCCTCCACGCTGAGCCAAGCTGAGCTGCCTCCGTCGGCAGGCGGAGCTGGAGCTTCGTCGGCAGCCGGTGTCCACGATTCCATGGATCATCCCTCGCAGATGTTCAACTGCGACTACTGCAACTATGCCTCCACCTACAAGGGCAATGTGGTGGGTACTCCTTTTAACTCTCTTGTTGTTAGAATCAATAACAAACTAGATCGTTTATCTTCACCAGCTGCGCCACATGAAGCTGATGCATCCGCATGTCGCCGTCAACTCACCCTCGATCTCCCCCGACACCAGGGATCAGGAGGCGACCTCGAACCCCACTCCCAATCAGCACTCGAACTCCGAGGGTTCCAATGGCGAGGCAGCCAGGTAAGGACAGGAGGAAGTTTGTGTCAATCGTGTCCCTCTAAGAGGTAGTTAAGAGATGAACAAATAATTAAGTTTCATATTTGAGCAAAGTCAGGACTTTTGGCAATGAAGAGAATAATTTAATTTAAGCTGTTAGCTTTCTAGATTTCTATACAGGACACATTTATGACTGGCTTAGTTCAAAAATCGACTTAATGAAAATAGGCTGTTGAGGAAAGATAAACCAGTTAGGCAATTTTATAAAAAAAAATAAATTTAAGCTGTTAGTTTTCAGATTTAGTTTACAAAAAGGGAAATACTTTTACCCAGATAAAGTTTCATCATTATTCATCCCTCTCTCACTTTTTTAACAATCTGTTTGAAAATTTTACAAAAATCGGAGTTTTACCGGAGGCAACATGCCGGATTCAACCAATTATTAATCAACAAATTATAATTTCTTTGTTTTTAAACATATATATAAATAAAATTATTGTGTACGATTTCAAAAACAAGAAAAATGTATGGGACAATCGACATTACTTCATTGTTGTTCAATGAAATAGAAAAATTTTTATTCTTGTTTTCTAACATATATCTATTCCCCCAGTTTCCTCATCAAATCGGAGCCGCTGGACCCACAGCCGCCCACGTTGAACCTGGTGCACGAGAACAACAACTCTCCGATCGCCACGCCCCACATCAAAGCTGAGCCCATGGACATGGTCGTGGATGTGGCGCCTGGAGGAGGGCTGGCTCCGCCGATGGCCTCTCCGCTGGGAAACAGCAGCGTGGCTGCCGCCGCAGCAGCAGCAGTAGCCGCTGCCGAGGTGATGAAGAAGTACTGCTCTACCTGTGACATATCCTTCAACTACGTGAAGACCTACCTGGCGCACAAGCAGTTCTACTGCAAGAACAAGCCCATTCGCCCGGAGGCCAACGACAGCCCCAGTCCGAATCACCTGGGCGTGGCCGTTGGCGGAGGCGTGGGCGTGGGACTGATGGCTGGACATGGCCAGCAGAAGAACAAGGAGAACCTGCAGGAAGCGGCCATTTGAGAGAGCCAGCTGCGGTGGGAGGCGCAGCGCAAGCAGCTGGAATGGTATTACAAATGCTTCTGAGCTGAGCAGCAGCGGCGACCGAACGAACGAACCTATTCGAATCCTAAGCATAGCCACCTCTTACGTGTAAACTATACGAAAACCGCAATCTGTACTCAACGACAGTATTCCCGGAGAATCTCCCTGTCGCTGCCCTCCACTTCCAACCGCCACGAATTGGGGACTGACTCCTTCGATAGCAGTAGATATACATATATACAGCAACGTTCACGCATATACACGTATAGTAACTAAACTAAACTAAACTAAATATATAGACTACCTAGATATATGTAGACGCATACCCATGCAGTGGGAACCATGACATATAATGCATGCCAAAGCTTACCACTAAGACAGAAAACAGAAACTAAATCGAGTGCAAGAAACTACAAGTTTGCAATGGTTTGCGGATAAGACCGAGCAGTCGGCGGAGTAGTCCTATGTAGATCCAATACTATATTGTAAATGGCTCGCTATTCCACGTGGATGCGAGCGTTTAAAACTGTGTAATTTAACTGAGTACATTATTTATTAAGTGTGTGCGACAATAAAAGTAATTAATTTATTCAACAATTATTATTATTATTAATTATTATTATTATTAATTTTGGATTCAACTTACGCAAGAGTTGCCGGACCGAGAACAATAGTTAAGTTCACAGGGATGCAGATGCGTTGCATCATAAAATTTGCCAAAAATCGGCCCGAAATTAGAAACTTAGTTTTGAACGCAAATAACAAGCCAAACAAGAAACAACTACAAAAAATAACAAGCCAAAATTTTTAAGCAAAATGTAAATGCAGTTTTTAAGAGGCTTAAGCCACAAGTCTTTAGAGATATACCACTTTGACATCAGATGCCTGACAGAAAAGTTATGGATTTAAAATCTCCGAAAAAATCGTCTATGCAGAAAAGTGACCAAAAACCTGCAGTTTTAAATCCATAACTTTTCTGTCAGGCATCTGATGTCAAAGTGGTATATCTCTAAAGTCTTGTGGCTTAAGCCTCTAAAAAACTGCATTTACGTTTTGTTTAAAAATTTTGGCTTCTTATTTTTACGATATAACTGCTTAATTGATATCCTAAAAATAGCCTTGCAAAATGTGAACAAAAACTTTCAGTTTAAATTTCATAACTTTTTTTTCAAGCATCCAATCTCAAAGTGGTATATCTTAAAAGTCGTGTGGCTTAGTTCTCTAAAAATCTGCGTTCAAAACTAAGTTTGTAATTTCGGGCCGATTTTTGGCAAATTTGATGATGTAACCCCTTTCTTAATCTCCGAAAAAATCGTCTATGCAGAAAAGTGACCAAAAACCTGCAGTTTTAAATCCATAACTTTTCTGTCAGGCATCTGATGTCAAAGTGGTATATCTCTAAAGTCTTGTGGCTTAAGCCTCTAAAAAACTGCATTTATGTTTTGTTTAAAAATTTTGGCTTCTTATTTTTACGATATAACTGCTTAATTGATATCCTAAAAATAGCCTTGCAAAATGTGAACAAAAACTTACAGTTTAAATTTCATAACTTTTTTTTCAAGCATCCAATCTCAAAGTGGTATATCTTAAAAGTCGTGTGGCTTAGTTCTCTAAAAATCTGCGTTCAAAACTAAGTTTGTAATTTCGGGCCGATTTTTGGCAAATTTGATGATGTAACCCCTTTCTTAATCTCCGAAAAAATCGTCTATGCAGAAAAGTGACCAAAAACCTGCAGTTTTAAATCCATAACTTTTCTGTCAGGCATCTGATGTCAAAGTGGTATATCTCTAAAGTCTTGTGGCTTAAGCCTCTAAAAAACTGCATTTATGTTTTGTTTAAAAATTTTGGCTTCTTATTTTTACGATATAACTGCTTAATTGATATCCTAAAAATAGCCTTGCAAAATGTGAACAAAAACTTACAGTTTAAATTTCATAACTTTTTTTCAAGCATCCAATCTCAAAGTGGTATATCTTAAAAGTCGTGTGGCTTAGTTCTCTAAAAATCTGCGTTCAAAACTAAGTTTGTAATTTCGGGCCGATTTTTGGCAAATTTGATGATGTAACCCCTTTCTTAATCTCCGAAAAAATCGTCTATGCAGAAAAGTGACCAAAAACCTGCAGTTTTAAATCCATAACTTTTCTGTCAGGCATCTGATGTCAAAGTGGTATATCTCTAAAGTCTTGTGGCTTAAGCCTCTAAAAAACTGCATTTATGTTTTGTTTAAAAATTTTGGCTTGTTGTTTTTACAATATAACTGCTTAATTGATATCCTTAAAATAGCCTTGCAAAATGTGAACAAAAACTTTCAGTTTAAATTTCATAACTTTTTTATCAAGCATCCAATCTCAAAGTGGTATATCTTAAAAGTCGTGTGGCTTAGTTCTCTAAAAATCTGCGTTCAAAACTAAGTTTGTAATTTCGGGCCGATTTTTGGCAAATTTGATGATGTAACCCCTTTCTTAATCTCCGAAAAAATCGTCTATGCAGAAAAGTGACCAAAAACCTGCAGTTTTAAATCCATAACTTTTCTGTCAGGCATCTGATGTCAAAGTGGTATATCTCTAAAGTCTTGTGGCTTAAGCCTCTAAAAAACTGCATTTACGTTTTGTTTAAAAATTTTGGCTTCTTATTTTTACGATATAACTGCTTAATTGATATCCTAAAAATAGCCTTGCAAAATGTGAACAAAAACTTACAGTTTAAATTTCATAACTTTTTTTTCAAGCATCCAATCTCAAAGTGGTATATCTTAAAAGTCGTGTGGCTTAGTTCTCTAAAAATCTGCGTTCAAAACTAAGTTTGTAATTTCGGGCCGATTTTTGGCAAATTTGATGATGTAACCCCTTTCTTAATCTCCGAAAAAATCGTCTATGCAGAAAAGTGACCAAAAACCTGCAGTTTTAAATCCATAACTTTTCTGTCAGGCATCTGATGTCAAAGTGGTATATCTCTAAAGTCTTGTGGCTTAAGCCTCCAAAAAACTGCATTTACGTTTTGTTTAAAAATTTTGGCTTCTTATTTTTACGATATAACTGCTTAATTGATATCCTAAAAATAGCCTTGCAAAATGTGAACAAAAACTTACAGTTTAAATTTCATAACTTTTTTTCAAGCATCCAATCTCAAAGTGGTATATCTTAAAAGTCGTGTGGCTTAGTTCTCTAAAAATCTGCGTTCAAAACTAAGTTTGTAATTTCGGGCCGATTTTTGGCAAATTTGATGATGTAACCCCTTTCTTAATCTCCGAAAAAATCGTCTATGCAGAAAAGTGACCAAAAACCTGCAGTTTTAAATCCATAACTTTTCTGTCAGGCATCTGATGTCAAAGTGGTATATCTCTAAAGTCTTGTGGCTTAAGCCTCTAAAAAACTGCATTTATGTTTTGTTTAAAAATTTTGGCTTCTTATTTTTACGATATAACTGCTTAATTGATATCCTAAAAATAGCCTTGCAAAATGTGAACAAAAACTTACAGTTTAAATTTCATAACTTTTTTTCAAGCATCCAATCTCAAAGTGGTATATCTTAAAAGTCGTGTGGCTTAGTTCTCTAAAAATCTGCGTTCAAAACTAAGTTTGTAATTTCGGGCCGATTTTTGGCAAATTTGATGATGTAACCCCTTTCTTAATCTCCGAAAAAATCGTCTATGCAGAAAAGTGACCAAAAACCTGCAGTTTTAAATCCATAACTTTTCTGTCAGGCATCTGATGTCAAAGTGGTATATCTCTAAAGTCTTGTGGCTTAAGCCTCTAAAAAACTGCATTTATGTTTTGTTTAAAAATTTTGGCTTGTTGTTTTTACAATATAACTGCTTAATTGATATCCTTAAAATAGCCTTGCAAAATGTGAACAAAAACTTTCAGTTTAAATTTCATAACTTTTTTATCAAGCATCCAATCTCAAAGTGGTATATCTTAAAAGTCGTGTGGCTTAGTTCTCTAAAAATCTGCGTTCAAAACTAAGTTTGTAATTTCGGGCCGATTTTTGGCAAATTTGATGATGTAACCCCTTTCTTAATCTCCGAAAAAATCGTCTATGCAGAAAAGTGACCAAAAACCTGCAGTTTTAAATCCATAACTTTTCTGTCAGGCATCTGATGTCAAAGTGGTATATCTCTAAAGTCTTGTGGCTTAAGCCTCTAAAAAACTGCATTTACATTTTGTTTAAAAATTTTGGCTTGTTATATTTTTTTTTTTAAAAAGATGGTTCAAACCGCGCAGTTACATTAGCTTCTGTCAGCGAGCACAATTCTCGGCTGACTAAAAGCATGCAACAATTTTATACGAGAGGAAGCCGCATCGTGCAGTTGCGCTGCCAGATTAATTTCTCACGAAAGGTGGCCGGATCGACAGGAAAATATATTTAAAGGTGGCCATTTTTGGACAGCTCAAATATGCCCCCAAAACAAATTTGAAAATCTGGCGCCTTTGTGAATAAATTGTTATTAACTGAACTGAAACAGGGAATTTCAGAGCTTTAATTAGGTTGTATTACCGCTCTTGCTCTGGCATATCGGTGGCACGATCAACGTTCGATTTCATTTTATAGAAATTTTTGCAACAGTATGTGAAAATCTCTCGAATTATATACTGGCACATTTGCAACTTTCACATATTTATTTAAATGATAAACGCATTCGTGCAGTACTGGCGAAGGACTGTAACCAGTATTAAAGGAGCCTATTAAATAATGAAAATGTATTAGCACAATCCTGTCCCTGAATTACTATTAACGATTTCAAGCGCAAATTATTCCCATCAGTTTGAGATAAAACCTTTCAAACGATGTACTCCCCACTTGCATATTTACAACTATTACATTTTTATTGAAATAATGTACTTATGATGTACTCAAGTACATAAATTAAAGATTCTCCTTATGGAATTGCCTAGATTAAAAGCTGGGAAGGAGTGACAAGTGGGTGCCACGTAGCCACTAATCACATGACGCATCGACTTATTAGATTTTATTCAAATGATGAATTACACATAGTAGCTGGTATAGAGCAAAGATATAATCAAATGTGGATTTTGTGTGCCGTAGAGTTTCGTTCAATTAGGTCAACTTAGTAAAAGTAAATAGATGTGGAAGCGTTCACGAAAACGCTTTCCGTCTAGATGTGTGTTTGTGTGTGTGTTTGTTTATGTTAATGCCTATGTGGGATCGGACCTGGAGGCGGACCTAGACTACTCGGACTACTCGGTGGCCGCCATGGCGCGGGCCTGGGCGCGGACTCGCTTCTCGTACTCCAGGCGGTTCTGGCAGTAGATGGTGTAGGCCTCCGCCTGGGCCGGGTCCTTGATGTTGGGCTCGTTGAGCAGATCCTGGATGCCCAGCAGGATCTGCTTGATGGTGATGGCCGGGCGCCAGTCCTTCTCCTCGTCGAGCAGCGACAGGCAGACGGTGCCCGAGGGATAGACGTTGGGGTGGAACAGCGGCGGCTCGAACTTGCACTTGGGCGGCGAGGTGGGGTAGTCGTCCTTGAAGATCATGCGCAGCTTGTAGAGGCCGCCCTCCCAAGGCGTGGACTTCTTGCCGGGAATGGCGCACTCCCAGATCATCAGGTTGAGGGTGCCGTCGGGATTCTTGGCGGGACGGGCCACGAATCCAAAGGGGTGATCCTTGCGCCACGCCTTCCGCTCCTCGCCCAATCGCGTGATTGCAATGCCGGACATGGTCAGCACCTACTTTTGCCCAAGATGTAGTCCGAAATCCAGTTTTTCTCACAATCCCACTTTGCTTTTGCACGCGCGTCTGTCTGCAATTGTGTGTGTGTGGGTAACTGGCGTGTGCACTGTCTTTTTGCGGCTTTTCTCCAACCAATGGAGCGTGGACCTACCTTTCCGGTGCTGTTTACACTTCAACAGGCCTGCAAATTGCCCAGTTTTAGCTATCCGCCACCGGGTTTTACAGTTTTTGCAAATTCTAGCGCAATTTTCGCAGGAAAGGAACGCTTGCCTTGTCCACGCAAAAGGTCTAAATTTGCCCAGGCAAACGGTCACACTCGTTTGTTATCGATAGCAAGTGTGACCCTAACAAAAAGTAACATTTATATACTAACCATTTAAAATTATTTAAATTCAAAATAATTTTTAGGTAATCAAATATAGTACATCAAATTATTTATAGATTTAGGTCAAACTGTTCCTTATTTAACTTAATTAATGATATTTAAAAAAAATGTGTTTTTTTTTTATAAATAAAGTACACGTTACTACTAAAAATAAAGCCTATATTTTATTTAATTCACCCTAGACACAGTTTTTATAATAACTTAAGGAGATCCCAAACATATTTTTAGATGGTAAATTAAAACACAAATATAAAACCCAGATTTTTATTTAAAAAATACCTTTGTGAGCAGTCATTTACGTACCCAATCAAAAAAAGTTATAGCCTGATTCCATTGCCGCATTAAAACGCATTTAGCCAAATGCGCATTTATTTACACAGGGAATCCCATAAGGCTAAATGCCGCATTTAAAATAAATGCGATTTTTAAATGCGATTAAAAACCATTCGCCCCGAAAGTTTTTAGAAAAAATACTGGAAAATACCGATGTTTAACGATATTTTGTTCGTGCCACCACTACAACAGCTGTTTTTTATAAGCAAGGTTGGCGCAATTTTTGATTTTTTTTGAATATAAAATCTATTCCGTATAAAAATGACTGAAACCTAGAGCGCACGCTGCAAATTCTGCTCGCAGTACCACAATGCATTACTGCTGGATCTCTGGAATAAAATTACTCCCACATATACGGGGATCCTTGCCTTTTTTAGAAACTGTGGTGGCCTTCATTGCAAACCCGTCATAACAACGCAATCAGCTTCTCTTCTTTGTCGTTCAAGTTGGCAAATGTCTCGGTCGCAATATGGATGTCCTGCTGAGCATTACAGAGTTTAGTAAACTCACTCATGTTCATTAATTTTAATTAATTTCTTTTGGATTTGCCAAAATTCAAAAGTAAACAAGCCCAGATCAGCTGTTCGTGCCACTCACATGTCGGAGTAGCATTAACTAAATGCTAATGCGCCAATGGAATCAGGCACACTTAAAAAGTCCACTAATGCGGCAATGGAATCAGGCTATTACACAGCATAACCTTGGTGTTACGAAAATTTGAATTTATTCGTATTTAAACTGTTTACATTAATTTTTGCACTTGGTCTTATGAAATGCAATGCTGTATTTGTTAATATTAAGTGGTTCCCTATTAAATCAGATACCTTTTAACGGATTTATTGGAGAAGGGGCTGTTTTACAAAAAATTGGAATATATTTGTATATAAACTGTTCTTTCTTAAATGTACGCCTCCTCTGCGCGGAGCCACATAAATTAATAGAATTCTACATTTAAATTTGATTCTGGTAAAAAAGTTGACAAGTAATTTTCTACAATTGTAACCTAATCAAACTAAATAAGGTTGTTGTGCCTGGCCAAGGAACGTAGCTAAAACTCAATAAGTGAATAGTCTTTTGTAGCGGTGTGCCGTAGCAGAAACGGATTGCGATAGAGAGTGGAGCTTGGCTAGCTGCAGAAGACATGTTGCGATGGAACGAATGATGGAGATGCTGTTCGGGGAGCGTCCAAACTGGCTTTACTTGCCCTTCTTTGACTCCTTCTTTTTGCTGCTGGACGAGCTGGTGCCCTCATCCTTTTCCTTCTTCTCCTTCTTTTCCGGTTTCTCCTCGGGATGGTCTTCGTATCTGGAGGGGGGAAAACCTTCTTAGTTTTACATATTTGAAAATATCAACCTAGATACGAGACTTACGCAAAGAGCACCTTCAGCTCGCCGCGGATGAGGGCCACCAGGAGCGGGGTGCCCATGCAGGCTGGCACCAGATAGAGCAGCGCCGGCTGCGCGTGCTTGAACACGTGCATCACGAAGATGGTGGCCAGCAGGCCCAGGAAGTAGGCGATCAGGGTGGAGTAGAAGTAGATGCGCGTCTTGCGCTTCTTGCTGTCGTCGAAGCGCAGCAGCAGGGCAATGAAGATGCCCGGAATGACGATGTCGCCCAGTCCCAGCATGGCGAAGTTGGAGGCATTCAGGCCATTCTCGATCAGGTCCTGGGGGAACACTAGCTTGATGGGCGCCTCGAAGCTCTTGGCCACGGTGACCATCACGTTGGTGCCGAACACCCAGAAGATGTCGTAGAAGAACAGCCCGCTCAGCAGGATCACGCCCGTCACAAAGTTGTTCAGGTGCAGCATCTCCACGCCGTTGATGGCGAATGCCAGGCCGAACAGGTTGTTGGCAATCCAGTGCTTCTTCAGCAGGTACCACACACCGATCGCCGAGGAGATCACCAGGCAGACGATGTCGTGCGTGGAGAACTTATAGTTCACGATGTCCTCCTTGTGCTTGCCCTCGCCCTTGGTGAACAGGATGTGGAAGGGCACCTTGGGCACGGCGGCCGGCATCAGCGAGTTGATCACCGGGCTGAGCAAGTGCGCCAGCGCAATCACGCCCAGCACAAAGAAGTAGCCGGTGAGCAGGTAGTTGATGTGCACCTTCTGGAAGATCTTGAAGAACAGGTACAGCCCGAAGAGGGCGCACGAGGCGATCAGCGGGAAGTACATGGCGTCCTTTTTGGTCATCGTGTCGGCCTTCTCGCCCGTGGACTGCAGGGTATCAAAGTTCTTGGTTTAGGCACAATTCTGGACATGATCTCCTAGCCCTAGGCACATACCTTCTTCAGCTTGTGCAGCTTCACCGAGCGAATGGAGCCGAAGATGATGGGCAGCATGGCCATCACCACCAGGCTACTGTAGGCCACAGCCATGCCCTCCGGCGTCGAGGGCTTCTTCTCCGCGGGCGCCGACTCGTTCTTCGGCGCGCTCACATTCTCGATGATGCCCTTGAGCACCTCCTTCACGGTTCCGAGCACTTCCTCCGCCATGGTCGCCAAATCCAAATCCAATCCTGTCCTGAGCTGAGCTGAAAAGTCGCCGGCTTGCGGGGGTGAAAAACCGTGAAATGACACGCAGCAGCACACGTCAACAATCTAGATGGTGTGACCGTTCGGCGTTCAGCCGAAAATATACCATAAATATACCGGAGAAGTTATATACCATTTACAACGGAAATTATACTAATTTATTTAAATTTAAATAAAATAAGACAGAATTGACAATAAAAGTATAACCAAAAAATAGTAATAAAAGCTAAAACATATTTAATCAATCCATAAACAACATAAGTTTATTTAAAATAAAATAATATAAGGAATAAAAAAATCCATACAAAAAATGAGTTTAGTAATATTTTCTGAATCAGCGAGTCCGACTGTAACGGAAAATCAAGGTTTGATCTCTGCAGGATTTTGTCGACTTATGTGATACAAATTTTTCCTTTGCAAAATTTGTTGAAAGGGTGAATAAACTACGGTTCTGGGAAAATTGTAGCTACAAATCGGTTTCTCTCCCGACTTAAAATAAGTTCGGCTCCCACACAAAAATGCAATATGTGGGCTTTTATCTCCAACGCCGGCAGAGAATCCACAGAGATATCCAGGCTTCGGCCATGTGCCAAGCCGCGAACTGAGCTCAGTTCCCTTTCAGATTCCGCGAGGCAAGCATTGAACATTGGAGACTGCAGACGCTTATATACATAGTTATTTTCTCAACAATGCCGTCGTCTTCCAAGATAAAGTCGCCGATTTCCGGTCTTGGACTACTGCAAATGCTAGTCGGGATATTATTTCTGTTTTCGGCTTCCGTACCAGGCGCCACTTGTAAGTGTGTTGTTATATCTCCGCAATTGCATAAGCCGCTGATAACTGATATATAAATACCCAACAGCCGATCCGGACCCAAAGAACGACAATGTCAAGGCCTCGGATCGCCTCCACGCAGGATTGTTCCTCAACTACGACAGCGATGTGCAGCCCCAGTTCCAAGGTGCTCCCACAAATGTCTCCTTGGGCATGGTGATCAACTACATCGACATCGATGAGATGAACGGCAAGCTGACCACCCACTGCTGGTTGAATATCGTAAGTCCAATCTGTACTTTTCCCTGCATTGTATAGCTTACAAATTAGTCAAGAGATATAACCATTGAGTTACGCATAAAATACGTAAGTACATATATACCACCAACTGCTGATTAAATATCGTAAGTCCAATCCATATAAACATTAAACTCCACATAAAATACGCTACGCTATATATAAAACACCAACTGCTCGTAAGTTCAATCCGTACTTTTCCCTGAATCGTATATCGTATATTGAGAGATAAAGTTGTGTTTTTCCTAAAGTTCACTTACATTTGATAAAAATTAAATTCCTCTTAAAATATGTTACGACCTACGTACAGAAACGAGTATAAATGGAATTTGTAAAAACATTATCTAAATGAGCTGCGTTTGACAACATTATCGTTTCCATATTTTAATTTAACTGAAATGGTACTGCAGATTTTCGAAACATTACACTTTTTTATGTATATGTATTTTTATGTATCCTTTACAGCGTTGGAGAGATGAGCAGCGCGTGTGGCAACCATCGGAATATGACAACATCAAGGAGATAACTTTGAAGGCCAGCGAGGTGTGGACGCCACAAATCACGCTTTTCAACGGCGACGAGAGTGGCCTACTGGCGGACACCCAGGTGATTCTCAGTCACGATGGCCAGTTCCGGCGAATGCCTCCGGCCCTGTACACGGCTTACTGCAACCTGAATATGCTGAATTGGCCACACGATCGACAGACGTGCAATTTGAAGATAGGCTCCTGGGGCCTGAAGAACATAATGCCGGATAACACGACGACAAAGGGTAAATCGCTGGACTACGACGACCAGGTGCAGTCTCCGGAGTGGCAGATTGTGGACTCCAGGGCGAAGTTTGTGAGCCAGGATTATTATGGATACATGGAGTACACTCTGACGGCCGAGCGTCGATCCTCGATGTACACTGCCGTCATCTACACGCCGGCCTCCTGCATCGTCATCCTGGCACTGTCCGCATTCTGGCTTCCACCACACATGGGCGGCGAGAAGATCATGATCAACGGCCTGCTCATCATCGTGATCGCCGCCTTCCTGATGTACTTCGCCCAACTGCTGCCCGTGCTGTCCAACAAAACGCCGCTTGTGGGTGAGTCCTTGCTTTTAAAGCTGGTTGTAAACGATGCAGCAGCTGTTTTGATATTCTATGCAGCAAGCTATTCTAAATTAAGACTGTATTAATGGAATTAAGATGTTTAAGCAATATAAAATACTTTTTAATTATACTCTTACGGTTACGATCAAATATTAACTCCAAAAGCTCAGTCCGGTTTTAAACGATGAAGCGGCTAATTATTTAAATAATTTTTATAAGCCATGCAGCATGGGTGTTAAGACTGTTTAGGTTTAATTGAGATAATATATAAATATTGTAAAGTACTTGTTAACTATTAAATCTTATCTCCAAACGATATTCGATTCCTCTTAGGCTGGTGGTAAACGATGCAGCGGCTGCAGAATTTCTTTATAAGCTTTAAAAACGTCGAAATTGATTTAAATTGAAAAACAGTGGACAATATCAAATCTGAACTCCAAACAATATGCGATTTCATTAAATACCTTAATAATAGTCATGGTCATTAAGACTATATAAATAATATTAAATAATTTAATATACCTTTCAATTAATCAACTTAAAACGTTATCCGTTTCTTCCAGTGATTTTCTACAGCACCACCCTGCTCTTTCTAAGCTTCTCTACGATCATCGAGGTGATGGTCCTGTACCTGGCCACTGCCAAGCACAAGAGGAGCGTGCCGGAGGTGCTGAAGAAGCTGCTCCACGGGAAGCTGGGCACCTGGCTGCTCCTCTCGCAGTTCAGCACGACCGGTGAGCCCCAGGAGGAGCAGACCAAGGAGATGGGCGAGCACCTGTACGAAAACCCAGACGAGGACGACGCGACCAATCCGCTGGGCATCAATCCCTCGGGCATGCCGAGCTACAAGGCCATCCAGTTTGACTGGGCGTTGCTGGCCACCGCCGTGGATCGCATTTTCTTCGTGGCCTTTAGTCTGGCCTTCTTCATCCTGGCCATAATCTGCGCTGTATAGCTCTAGATCCTTAAAATCTCAACGCAATGCACCTTTATCTTGAGTAAGCCAATCGTTGCCAATTTATCTCGAAAGTATGTTAAATCAAGACTTAATCAAGGCATAGGTGCACTGTAAATTTAATATTTGCATTTACGTTTTCATGTATTTAGTAAATACTGTTTACTCTATGTGCGAACTTATAATTATTTAATGATGTGAGACCCCGTTTGGAATAAAGGATCTCTGCCGAATGTGTGCTTACAACTACAAGCGAAGGACAACAGGCGAAGTAACAAATTGGCTCTCGTTTCCGAGTATTGCTCTGCGATGCTCCAGGTTATCACAATTCCTCAATTAACCCAAAGTAGCTGGAATTATACGAAATGACCTTTTTACGGCCAAAAGGTCTGACCCTCGATGGGTGGTTGGAAGTGGGTGGTTGGATGGGTGGCTCCACGCTCTCCGTGCGCAGTGGGTGGTCCAATGCGCATCCGCATCCTTTGGAACTCACAACCCCGGCGACAAATTGGGGTTGCTCTGCTGGCTCAATTAAATGCGTTTGTGGTGGGAGTGTTCTGGTCGTAGTTCCCCGTCGACGATGAGGATGTCCTGGTTGGGTCTCCGGCTGCAGTCCCACCTTGGAATGGAGCAGTAAAATTCGACGTGGATGCGGATCCGGATGCGGATGAGGAGGAGGCGGCGGGTGCCTGGCCAGGCGATGGCTGCGAAGAGGCCGGCGAGGGCGAGAGGAATCCCAGACTGGAGCTTGTGGATGCGGGCGACGTGTGGTGCGGATGCAGGAAGTGGTGCTGATGCGGATGCGAGTGCTGGTGGTGCTGATGATGGTGGTGCAGCGCCGACGGCGGCGGTGGCGGGTGGCGGGCCAGCTGCATCGCCCCACCTCCGTGGTGGTTGTAGGAGCCCAGCATACTGGAGGCCGGATCTCCTCCCTGCGCCTGAGCCTGGCAAGCGGCCATCAGGCCGTGGAAGTCGAACTTGTAGGCATACCGCTTTCCATGCACCTTGGTCATTATATTCTTGTCGTAGTAGTATCTGTAAATTGAGAACAATAAAGTCTTATAAAATTTACTTTTCTTCACCATAAATTGAGATCTTAATTCTAAATTGGGGATAATATACTAACTACTTGTACTTAAATTTTTCTTCAAAATTAGTTTTTATTTACAAACTTAGTTCTTCAGAGTTAAGAAACAATTGTCACAAATTTAAAACATGTACTAAATTAAAATACAATTACTTATTTCCTATATTTATTTATTTTTTATTTTTTTACGATTGTAGAAATTTTCTAACTAATTATTTTATGTCGCTTGCAACAAAACCTATATATTATTATAAACTAAACGAACTTACTTTATGTTATGTTTTTTGCAGACATTTTCAAACTTAGTTTTTAAATGTTAAGGAATTTACCGTTTTGAGAAAACAATATTTTTTGAGTGTAGAACAAAAATATGAATGTTTTTATATTTCTAAAATTGTTCTCGTCATTTAAACAAATAATGTCAAACGTAATAATGTAGGGGTATAATTAAGTAATCGAAACTCACCTGAGAGCCCTGCTCAGCTTGTCGTAGTTCATGTTGGGCTTGGCCTTGCGCTCGCCCCACCTGCGAGCCACCTCGTCCGGGTCGATGAGCCGGAACTCACCCGATTGGCCCTCCCAGCTGATGGCGGCGGCGTTGGACGAATCGGCGAGCAGCTCCAGCAGAAACTGCCACAGCTGAATTTGGCCCCCGGAGCCCTGGGCGACCAATCGGTGCGAGGCAGCGTTCAGCAGCTGATACGGATCTGAAAAGAGAGACGGGGGCGGGGTATTAGTGGCGAATACTTCCATACAGATACAGCCCCCTCCAGCAACAAATACAAATACAGATATAGATACAGATACTTTGGTCGCTGAGATACTGAAAGAGCGAGCGAGCCAGAGAGAATCGCGATTGAAACAAGATTTTCTGGTGGGGGACGACGACGTGGCAAGAGTGCCAAGTGGAACTGAACTGAATGCCATAAGCCAGCGCGGATTCACAGAAAATCAACCGCAAACGGACATAAATCCTGGCACTCGCACTGCACACAGAGAAAAACCGGTCTGAACGACTAAACGAATTGCACGATTAAGATTGAGTAAAATATATTTATAAAACATAAATTAAGTTTAAATTTGTTAAATAAATTAACATGTTCCAAAATATCGAAAAGCTTTAGATAGTACGGCATATGATTGAGATTATGTCAATCCTCTGATTTATGTTAGTAATTTATGTTTGACAAATAAACTTTTTCAAATTGGAACAGCGCTGTTCTTAAATAACAAAATATAAAATGTTTTGTTTCTAGTTATTTATTTAACGGCTACAAATATAATGATTTTAAGACGGCACAGGTCAAAAAGTCCTTTATTGCATAATTTTAATTTTTTAAGACTTCACAATATTCTTTAGTTATTTTCCAGTAAGTTTCTATGTATTTTTATTTAACTAAAAGGTATTAGTAAGTTGAAAATAATCAAAATTTTTCATCTCTTAGGTCAATATATTTAAAACGGTGACGTGTACCAACATTTTTGTGGCTGTATTTGGATTTGACACATTTAACTCTATTAGAAAACCAGCTGAGTATATGGACTTTACAAGAAATCTTTTTGTTATATAGTTTATTAGATCACAATCATCACAAATTATTTTGTTTTTATTAAAATCAAAGTTTTGCCATTTTAAAGTGGTGTAAGTTTAGATGGGGTTTCTAAACCAGCGAATAAAAATCTCCTTCAAGTAATTTTCTTGTTTATTGGCCATGGGGACAATCCCATATCCCGTACTCTGAGCACCTCCATGGGGAAAATCCCCTCAAAGTGCCGCTGCAAAAGCACGAATGTGCCATAACGACGCTGACTCATTCGCTGATCAAGCAATGCCGCGGCCACAAGACACAATTCTCACTTCTAGTCTATGCCGGAGCAGTGGACCCACCATCTCTCGTGTCCATTCATATTTCTAGGCACATCGCTCGCCGGAAATGCCAGAGATCGAGTGGTTGCCATTGAGAGATCTCCTCGCCGCCGTTCATTCATTTCACATTTTTCGCGTTGATTTCGGCCCTGTCTCAGCGGAAATTCCGATGAATTTTCGGCCATATGTACGCCGCTCTTACCATTGAAGATCATCGAGGTGTGCGGATGCTGGTGATGCTGGTGGTGGTGGTGGTAGTGGTGGTGCACGGCCGGGTGGTGCGGATGGGGATGCTGGCCGACCGGCGGTGCCGTCTGCATCCGGAGGCCGAACCGCCGGTTGAAATCCTCAGACAGGCGCCACATGACGCCCACATCTACGCTGACACTCATGGTGGGTATTTTTTAAATCTTTTTAAAATAACACTAGATGCCAATTTTGCAACTTAACAAATATCGTTGTTTTTATAGTAGCTTGTAATTAAAGTTCAATTTATTATCAATTAAAAGTTATACCATTCCTGAAGTTTTGGTTTTCTTTTACCGTCGTATTTTTATTTGTTTATTTGTTCTCTGTATTTAATAGAATTAAGTGGCATCAGTAAGTAAATATTTTTCAGCGCTCCTAAATGGCTTGATAATATTGTTTTTTTGATTCCATCGATTGCCAAATTGTGCACATATTAGTTTTTTTACGTTGATGCTTATATGTTCGGCATAAAATGTATTTAATTTACTACATTTTAAACTATTGCAAAATTTTTGTTACTTTCATATCTTTTATATTTCCTCAACTAAGGAATTGCTTAAAATTGAGTTAATAAGGCGCAGTTGCTAATTTTCAATTCTTCAATGGCTGTTGACTTTAAAACTGTTGTTTTTAACACAAGTTTTTAGTTAGTTTAGTTTTAGTTTTAGTTTTAATAGTTTTCTTTAAATGCTCAAATTGGTTGACTTTTGATTCGAATATAAAATTAGTTTTATAGCTTATAGTTTTCCCCGGGAGCTTGTGAACCGTTTCGGACGAGGGCCATTTGGCAACTGAAATGTCATCCAAAATCGCTGGTCGGATTTCGGTCCTTATCACCGGACGAAATGGATGCCTGGCAGCCTGGCATCTTCGCCAAGCATCCGAGGAGCAAGCGAAGCTGCGGCAACGATTTTGGCTCACCTGCGCAGCTGGTGGTAAATGCTGCTTCGGCGTTTGCCGGAGAAGTCACAAAAGTCAGAAGCCACGTGCAGCCACTCAACCAACAACCAACCCAACCCACCCAACCAACCTAAATGCACACAATAAACAACTATAAGGCTGTTTTTCAGTTTTACGACTAATAAATACCCAGTATGAATCACTTAGTTATTTTGATAATATTGCAAACAACTTTGAGCGTGGGAAAGTATTTTCTAATATCCAAGAAAATGCTTCTGCATTCTTCTCTAAAATATTAATTAATATGTTTGAAAATAGTCAGACAGTTGAAACTATTTGAATAGTCAATAAAAAACCATCATCCTTAATGATCAAAACAATCTTTAAAGTTTTTTATAATGTGAAAAATATCATGTCATTTAACAAATTTTTAAAATTGTTCCCAAATCTTTGAAATCACTTGCTGAAACTATTATTGTCTATTATTTTGTTTGATAAATTTAAAATTTACCTTAAAAAAAGAGCTTTATAGGGTTTTATACTGTTGCATCTTGGAAATTCCTATATACCCTGGATATCTGTCATTATGGGAGCGCTGTAAAGAGGCGGTGACTCAGACGTTGGAATAACTGTAGCCCACAACAACAAATGAAATCTGCGTGACTGCGACGACGCGTAATCCTCTTTGGCATAAAAAACAAATCAATTAAATCGACGTCGCTTGCTCTCGGGATCAAGCCAGCTATATAGCTATATATATATGGCCCTCCTACCAACATATGCCAAACCCAAATCAGGAGGCTTTCCTCTGCTTTTCAGCTGCTCTTCCTGCCACAGGAAGGATGCGACGAATGAATATTTTCCTGTGCCCGAAAGCTGACCACCCGCAGAGCTGTTGTCACTGACAAGCCATCCAAACCACCCCAACCACCCACTGCCACCCACAGCCACCCACAACCACCCACACGCAACTTTTCTGCTCGACTAAGACTTGACTCGGCGACTTTTGTCGCTGGCATGGGATTATTTTGATTTTATTATTAGATGCCACATCCTGCGAGAAATTATCATATTTACATCGTTTATTATTAAGTTCATCACTTGACGCGACCGCCCGCTAAGCCACGCCC